CACACCCCCCCCCCCCCCCCAAAAAAAAAAAAAAAATCAATGTAAAAGTCAGCTTGTCTTTCCAAACCCCAAGGATATTATGAAAAATGATTTGGAAACTCAAAGTTGCCCCAAAAATCCAATCATTCCTATGGAAGGTGTCCAATAATGCACTGCCCACTAGATGGGCGCTGTGGAAATGGAAGTTGATAAAGAATCCATCGTGTCCAATATGCAGATAGGAGGAAGAAACAATGGAACATCTCCTATTGTTATGTCCTTGGGCTGCAACAGTGTGGAAAAAATCTCCCCTTGGGCTCATCATTGATAGATGTGGACTATCAAGAATGGAGAATTGGCTCGTAGAGAGATTGGAAGAAAGGACAGAGACTTGTGAATTTGAACACTGAACGCAGCCCTTAATTGTTCTCTTATGCTAGTTCATATGAAAATCACGCAATGAGTGGATCTATCAGCACAAACAGCCAAGCAATAGCAGAGTTATCTCTCAGGCAATGGAGGCCTTCTCAGAGATGGACAAAATTGAAAATGAAGTTCTCGCCCAATGCAACCCAAATTTAATTGAATCTGAATGGTCACAACCTCCAATGGGCTGGATAAAGATCAACCGCGATGTAGCATTCTGCGAGAAGAGCAATAGTGCATCTTATACGGCAGTGGCACGCAATCATGAAGGAATACTTGTTACTAGAGTTGCGGCGAGGATAACAGTCTCCTCAGCTCTGACAGCTGAGGCCTGTTTTGTGCGTAGTGTTGTTTCAATCGCACTTAATGAAGGTTTCAGAGAAGGTATCATTGAATCCGACTCAAAGACCCTGATTCATTCCCTCAATCAAGGACCAACAACAACCATAAGAGAAATTGAAGCCATTCAACAGGATATATGGCATTATGTGAAAGGTATAGCTAAAATCATTTTCAAACACACAAGGAGATCCTGCAACTCAGCGACACATACTCTGGCCATGCACTCTAGGCAAGGCACACTGACTCCTAACTGGCAATCCTCTCCCCCATGGCGACTGGTGCAAATTCTCCTCAAAGAAGCTAGAATAGGTATAGGGTAAAGTAATAATGTAAAGCTTGTTTCCCTTTATTTAAATGAAAATTATATTTCCACCAAAAAAAAATATAGATTTTACAAAACTAACTACGACCCAAAAATGCGTACCACTAAGCCTACCCCCACCGGGCCCACCAAACCATGTATTGAGAGAAGTACTGCACCACATACCCATACCATGCTCCAAATCGATCCACGATCCAAGCAACATTAACTTCCATTTTAATTACAATAAACATTCTAACTATTCACTTTTATTTTTAGTAGTTCACAGTTAGGATCCATCAGCTAACCTTGCAACTTCTATTTTAATCACATCATTTAATGACTTACATTTAACAATAGTAAATATTTCAGTCATATTTACATATTAACTACAGACACTAGTTTAACCTCACTTATGTTGTAACCACTCACTCACATTTTAAAAAACATTGCATTTGGGACACCCTAGTAGATAAAAATAGAAGGGATTTGGAAAGACCATCAATTTTTAATTTTTTTTTGACAAAAAAATAGTTAATTATAGAAATTAACCTTTTCACACCTGGGGACCCAATTGTTGGCCCGTAGATCAAGAACGTCACTGACCATAAATCTCCACCGCGGTGCAAGTTGGATGTTCGTTTTCAGGTCCTTCAGCTTGCTGAAGTACCCATCATTCAGTTCCCGCGAATTTTGGCCTTGATCCAGCTGCTTCCCAATAGCATTAAGCAATAGGCATAGTGCCTCCACATTTTCCTCTGCTGGGCAAGCTTGAGAATCGGGTCCTAAGAGTTCCTGCATCAAAATCAGCACAATTACACCATATACTATAGAACAATCATGATAGTATACTTGATTGAGTAGCTAAGGCGAAGTGATTGAACTAGAAATCTGACCCGAATAACGTGGTGGACAATCTTTTCAGGAACCATATTCAGCTTCACGAGTTCTCCAATAAGGCAGATGTTGCCAAGAGTTCTCAGTTTGACCATTCTTTCTTTGTCCCTGGCTTCCATTTCTTGCTCGGGGGCAATCATCTGCCTAATTTCGGCCCTCAGATTGTCAACACCTTCAAATGCCTCCTGGCAAAGATTTAAAATGATTCGCTTACAAGTAATTAATTTCCCACCAGGTTCTTCAGAGAGGAAAGGATCAAGCTCCTCGTTGAGGCCAGTGCAAAGACGTGCATAAAGGGGGCAAAATGTTGGCTCCATCACAGCTTTATCAAATATCAGCAAGACTAAAACCTGTGGTTGCAATAAATTTTTCAATCTTAACTTACCAAAAAGAATAACTAAAGAAATTCCTCCATTGATTAACCAATAGAGGAATCTAAAAATTGTTAGAATACAACTTCTTTTATGATCTGTAAGATTAAAAAAAAACCTTTAGAATATCAGGAGTTGTGACTACGAGCTCAATCAGTTGGTCCTTCACAACACCAAACTTCTGTGTGGTCAACTTGTTCAATATACTGCCCAGAAATACATTAATAAACAGAGTTTTTGCTAGAGTTACACATTAGAGTTCAAGATAATACATCACAACAAAACTGTAAAAGAAAACAATACAAATTTTCTTTCAAGAAAGGGGATGATACAGATTTCATGACCTCCGATAGCATAAGAATGAGGATCAATTAATTACCCAATCACTGTTTTTAAGGCATGTTCCTTTCGCGATAAAGCCCCTCTTCTTCTTGCTGACCATGGAACTTCAGCCTTTACAAGAGGAGGACCAAGCCCAACCTGATTCACATATTAGGTAAGAGTGATGCCACAAAGGAAGAAGAGCAAGTATAATGGCAAGCATGTTAGATCTGTACTTAGGGTCATATTTTACTTCTTTCATTGGCCTTTTCATCTGTTTGACGTTTTTAACACCCTTCTTCACAAATGATGGTCCCACACTTTGGTCCAGCACTAATTCCCTATGTTTGAGCTTGTATTTATTTTTTGACGACGTTCTTTTTTTGGCCATGTCTCAGGAAGCAAGACATACCCACATTCATCAAAATTGAAAGAGTGACTTCATAAAGTGAAAACATTTCAAACAATATGTTTTACTTCATATATATTCTCCACATAGTGTAACAACAAAGAGTGACTTCATAATTGAACAAATCAAAAACAATATGATTTGCATTGGAATATAAATTCTAGATAGTGTGACAAGGAAGAGTAACTACACAATAAAACACATTCAAAAACAAAATGTTATTTCCTTCAAAGCTAGTTATTAGTTAGAGTGACAACAACGCTTCAATGTACAAAATGGTTTACACCACATTTACAGAAATCCATCAAAAACTGCCATAAGCTTTAGAGTTATCAAAAATGTATGCAGATCATATTATTAAACAGCGCCTTGCATTTGGAATAAAATACCAAAACCCCTTGTCGCATTATAATTCAAATGTCAAAATAAGCACATACTGTGACAACAAAGAGTTACTCTAGAAAGGCAACAATATATGAAAACAAAGATTAACTGCTTTTGTAATGTTAACTCGATAGTGTGACTACAAAAAGTGAATACATAGATTGACTTACTAGTGTAACTTCACAATATTACTACTTCATTCAAAAAATTAAGCATCAAAATGGCAGTAGGAAGCATTGAACAAGGTTAGAACATAGAACAAAACCCATTTTTTCTAATTTTGGTTACAGATTACGAGTTTTAACTCATAACTTTTGGGGATTTTATGAAAATAATATAATTTCTAATGCAATCGAATTTATAGCAAGATTTGGATTACTAGCCTCATGTCGTTCGCTGAAGCTGTCAGAAAGACACCGGTGACAGATGATGTAAAGCAAACCCTAAAATTTTTGGTCCCAGATCAATGTGATTTCCTCAAAAATCGTTTATTTCAAACCTATGACTGAACTCCTCAATTTGTGGTTAAACGAAATCTGTGGAGATGTTNCTCATGTCGTTCGCTGAAGCTGTCAGAAAGACACCGGTGACAGATGATGTAAAGCAAACCCTAAAATTTTTGGTCCCAGATCAATGTGATTTCCTCAAAAATCGTTTATTTCAAACCTATGACTGAACTCCTCAATTTGTGGGTAAACGAAATCTGTGGAGATGTTTCAAATTTCAGATCTTTTGCTTGAATCGTGCAAACTTCATCCGTTTTTTGTGGATATGTGCGTTATCATTTCCGACAGTTTCCTAATATAGGTCCTTCAGTCTCAACGTGAACAAAAGGCTAAAACATACATTTTTCATACTACATGAATTTTTTATCAAAACATTTTCCTCGTTTTAGCTAAATAAGTTTGTTTATGTGTACCGACTGTCGTTTTTCCCTAACAAAAAAACAAGGTGATAACCTTTGTTTTTTTAAAGCTATCTACTTTATTTTGCTTTTTTTTTTTCTTTTTCTTTTTTAATAGCCTGCTATGAAGTAGAATGGCAATGGTCAAGGACAAACTAGACTTTCGCAATTAGATTATCTAGCTGAAGACCATGATTTGGCCCATTCTCTAGGACCAAGTTAAGCCCATGGGCCAAGTTTTAAATTTTGTATATTTATTTTCTTAATTAAAACACAATAAAATAATATTGTAAATGTATAGACATAATCAATATAAAAAAGTAGAAGGAATTTTGAATCTCAAACTTATCAATTTGTTGGAACGGTCTAAATCTATTCCATCATTTGATTTGAGGGGCAACATCATCTTCGTAACTTTGTCTCCTGTCCAAAACCTAATTTCACGCCCCTCACACGATTTAGGAAAGATTGTTAACCTATAAGAACAACCCACAATTTTCCATGCAAAACTTTCCATAATCCATGACCCAATTACAATTTCGCAAAGGATTTCAAAAAAAATGAATGTAGTGCAGCTTTAAAGCCATGAGTCCCCTTTCCTTTTAGTAGCCAAAAATTTTGCATGGGTGGAGGAGAGATTACTCTTTTCTTCTCTACCCCCTAACCGAATCATCTTCATATGAAGAAAATATTAATTACAACGGCGATACCACGTCATAGGTGACACGTGGTATCACCAACTAATAAAGGTACATCTAATTATTGTCAAAGATGCCCCATATTCACTCCCTTTGTTTTCTCTCCTATACGATATCACGCGCCCCCTTTCAACGGATGACGCCCCCATCCAAACAGCCCCTTTCTTTCTCTCTCCCTTCTCTCTCTCTCTCTCTCTCTCAAATATTTAATACATACCTAAAAATTATTTTTTAAAAAAATAGTAATCTCATATTGTTTGGTAAATTCTCTCAATTTTTTAGGTGCAATTTTTTTGCGTTATACTATACCTTCGGGCATGGGCAATTCCTTGTGATTTTTTGGTTTGTTACATGCTTTCAGGCACGGACAATTGCTAGTATATCTATATCATAAAACAAAATATTCTTCAATATCACAACATAACAATAATTCAGATCGTTTAGATCCGACAACTTACTAACTTGCATTTTAACTTTTTAACCATAGGAAGTAAGTCGACCTATTTATATTTAACCTTTAAATACTAAAAACATTTTAATCATATTAACTTTTTAACCACAATAAATATTTTAACCATGATAAAAGAAGTGATTTGCACGAGGTATCCTAGTTTTAGCCAGTCATGGGCCATTGTTTTAGTCCAAGCCTAACCTACAATAGTTTCAGGCCAAAAATTCTTTCGATTAGTTGTTTGGACTTGGTGGGCCTCCCAAATGGCTCAACCCAACTCTGAATAGTGTTTGCAACAAAATTTTTAGGCTCAAGCATGAATATCCTGGCAAGATTGCTCAGGATGGGCAGGCCACCAAGCCCAAGCCCACCACCCTTTTGAATAAAAGATCCTCCTTTATTCTCTATTGGGAGCCAATAAAAACATCTTGCAGAGTTAGGTTAAAGACTAATGCTAGCTCGGCTGTAGGTGTGAGGGATCTACAAGAGCGTACCAAGGCATTCGAGGGTAGCCAACCAAGGAAATAAGCAAAGACAACTTTGTATCGAGCGCACATCTTCAGGCAATCCGGATTCAAGGAAGGCACAAAGTATTAGCCACCATCATAAGTTACTCATCACTTAAATGATCATACCTCTCAAATAATAGCTTCCCAACTTTCACTCCACTCCCATGATCCCTATATTTGACACAATCAACAAAACAAGACTCAAGAGAGTTCTTCCCGAATAAATGGCGTTGCTTCAATGAGTTGAAATGCACCATCAAGAGGCCTAGTTCTATCTAGAACATTAACTCCAACTCCGAGGTAATTTCATAGCCCTTACCATGCAATTGAACAATTAGTCCCCAATGTACTGATCCTGCATGAATACAAGACTTGATCAGCAAGCCAATTAAGGTACCATCATCTGGCATTAATCGATCAATTCTCATGTTACCGAACCAGAATTCGAGGACAACCAAGCCATCATTGTTCAAGGTCACGGTATCGACCATAAACTCAGAGAGTTCTGAGATACATCGATCGCGGCGTTGTAGCGCGTTATCGGGCAATACGACTTAAAAGAAAATGTTGAAAATAGCGAGAAATTCAGGTCATATCAACACGTCGTGGAATCGTATCGGCCAATTTGGTAACGATATTTCGGTGACTCGGGATTGACTCAGATATTACTTGGACGACTCTGACGACTTGGGATTTATACGTATCATATAACGATATCGTCTCCAAATATGCCGAGATGGATACGACTCGACCAACTTGTATCGGTATCGGCCGATAATTTGAACTTGCAAGCCATAGCCATGAAGAGCTAAGTTCGAGCTAATATCATTGGATTTCCACCAGAGCATGTCTCTCAGGAATTTCATCAAATCTACTTTCTGCACCATGCTTTCATAGTCAAATATCATTTTATTCTGTCATTTCCTCAATTGTTCTTCGTGTTTTTTCCATGTCGCCTACATTACATTAAGCTAATATCCTTGGGTTTCCACGAGACAATGGGTCTCAGTACTTTCATCATTTAATAGAGTAGTTTAATCATTTCTTAATTCTTATATCCAAATATTTATATCTACCTAATAAAACAAAACATGAAACACGACCACAATCCAAATCATTTAAAGTTACAATCCAACAACTAATCTTACAACATATATTTTAAATACAAAGAACATTTTAACCTTGCCCACACTTCAACCATTGGCTTACATCAAAGATCCCAGGATCGTATATACCCCTAGCATCCCACGAACTAGAGTCACATGACCCAAAATGAAGTGAGTTCGCGACCCAAATTGCTCAAAGTCCTAACCCCAAATTATTAGTCAAATCACAAATGGATTCATAATCTAAGTAATCTCACATCATAACCCTAAACCCCAAATCATAATTCTACCTTGTTATTTCTTTATTTTGACATTTTTTAAACTCATATTTTGACAGCAGTTATCAGAAATATAAAATAAATATTTATTAATTACGTGTCTACAAATATATTATTCTATATAGAATTTACAAAACTAATTACAACCCAAAATAGCGTACCACCTAAGCCTACCCCCACCGTACCATGTATTAAGAGAAGTACTATACCACGTACCCATATCATGTATTAAATCGATCCACGATCCAAGCAACATTAATTTCCAGTTAATTTCAATAAACATTTTAACTATTCACTTTTATTTTCAGTAGTTCACAGTTAGGATCCATCAACTAACCTTACAACTTCTATTTTAATCACATCATCTAATGGCTTACATTTAACGATAGTAAATATTTCAATCATATTTACATATTAACTATAGACACTATTTTAACCTCACTTATGTTGTTACCACTCGCTCACATTTTAAAAAACATTGCATTTGGAACACCTTAGTAGATAAAAATAGAAGGGATTTGGAAAGACCATCATAACATTTTTTTGAACCAAAAAAAATAGTTACTCAATTATAGAAATTAACCTTTTCACGTCTGGGGACCCAGTTGTTAGCCCGTAGATCAAGAACGTCACAGACCATAAACCTCCACTGCGGTGCAAGTTGGATGTTTGTTTTCAAGTTCTTCAGCTTGCTGAAGTACCCATCATTCAGTTCCCGCGATTTTCGGCCTTGATCCAGCTGCTTACCAATAGCATTAAACNTCACATCATTTAATGACTTACATTTAACAATAGTAAATATTTCAATCATATTTACATATTAACTACAGACACTAGTTTAACCTCACTTATGTTGTAACCACTCACTCACATTTTAAAAAACATTGCATTTGGGACACCCTAGTAGATAAAAATAGAAGGGATTTGGAAAGACCATCAATTTTTAATTTTTTTTTGACAAAAAAATAGTTAATTATAGAAATTAACCTTTTCACACCTGGGGACCCAATTGTTGGCCCGTAGATCAAGAACGTCACTGACCATAAATCTCCACCGCGGTGCAAGTTGGATGTTCGTTTTCAGGTCCTTCAGCTTGCTGAAGTACCCATCATTCAGTTCCCGCGAATTTTGGCCTTGATCCAGCTGCTTCCCAATAGCATTAAACAATAGGCATAGTGCCTCCACATTTTCCTCTGCTGGGCAAGCTTGAGAATCGGGTCCTAAGAGTTCCTGCATCAAAATCAGCACAATTACACCATACACTATAGAACAATCAAGATACTGTACTTGATCGAGTAGCTAAGGTGAAGTGATTGAACTAGAAATCTGACCCGAATAACATGGTGGACAATCTTTCTAGGAAACATCTTCAGCTTCACGAGTTCTCCAATAAGGCGGATGTTGCCAAGAGTTCTCAGTTTGACCATTCTTTCTTTGTCCCTGCGTTCCATTTCTTGCTCAGGGGCGATCATCTGCCTAATTTCAGCCCTCAGATTGTCAGCACCTTCAAATGCCTCCTGGCATCTATTTGCAATGATTCGCTTACAAGTCATTAATTTCCCACCAGGTTCTTCAGAGAGGAAAGGTAGCTTCTCATTGAGGACAGTGCAAAGAAGAGCATAAAGGGGGCAAAAGGTTGGCTCCAGCACAGCTCTATCAAATATCAGCAAGACTAAAACCTGTGGTTGCAATAAATTTTTCCATCTTAACTTATCAAAGAGAATAACTAAAGAAATTCCTCCATTAATTAGCCAATAGAGGAATCTAAAAATTGTTAGAATACAACTTCTTTTAAGATCTGTAAGATTAAAAAAAACCTTTAGAATATCAGGAGTTGTGACCACGAGATCAATTAGTTGGTCCTTCAAAACACCAAATTTCTGTATGGTCAACTTGTTCAATATACTGCCCAGAAATACATTACCAAACAGAGTTTTTGCTAGAGTTACACATTAGTGTTCAGGATAATACATCACAACACAACTGCAAATGAAAACAATACAAATTTTCTTTTAAGAAAGGAGATGATACAGATTTCATGACCTCTGATAGCATAAGAATGAGGATCAATCAATTACCCAATCACCGTTTTTAAGGCACGTTCCTTTCGCGATAAAGCCCCTCTTCTTGCTGACCATGGAACTTCAGCCTTTACAAGAGAAGGAGCAAGCCCAACCTGATTCACATATTAGGTAAGAGTGATGCCACAAAGGAAGAAGAGAAAGCATAGTATCCTACGTGATAGCCATATAATCAGGATTACATTATGCATTATGAGCAATAGAATCTACTTCAATAGGTTGGGTCCGTTGGGAGAGCTCATACACATATACTGGCATTCACATAAAATATATGATGGCTGAAATTTGGCAACATACAAGTCCAAGTTCAAGTCCAGAGGCGGAGCCAGGATTCTAATTTAGGGGGGGCAAAATATGATTAAAATAATTCATCAGTACACAAGACTCCTACAACTATAGAGTCTAAGGAAGATTGAATATACACAGTTGATACAAAAAAAAATAATAATAAGTTCAAGCATGAAAAGATATATGAAGATTTAAGATTGAATTATTTGATGAAACTAGTTACTATTTAGCCAAAAAAAAATATGGCAAAAACATATTTTTCAATTTTTCATATTTGATGAAACTAGTTAAATTTTTCAATTTTTTTTTTTGACCTACACAATCACAGAGTTTGTTCAAAAGCATCCTTCATTGCATTACAAAACTTTGTTGAGATCATTCTATATATTGTTAAGTGTTAAGATATGAAGAGAGAAAAAATAAGAAGTAGAGAAGAAGGGAGAGTTTGTATAAATGTAGTGGTTGTTGAAAGAAAGCCCCAAAGAATCATATTAGGGTTATCTCCCTTAGCCCCGTGTATTTATAATAGTAAAGCTGAAAGTACATAAATACCTCTCATGGTTATAAGACATCTCTTAATAATAACAAATTGATTATTTAAAATAGAATAAAATGCTTTTGTGCTAAGGAATTTTACATTCTACATCTCATTGTGCATTACTAGGTCATGGGCTTCTAATTTGCCAAAAAAACAGTTAAGGGCAACTATACAATTATTCTTAAAATTTGAAGATAGTGCAATAGATAGAAAATAAGTATTGTATTTGGTCAATATATATACCGATAATGACATTTCACACATGCTTCATTCAATCCAAAAAGAAACATTTATTTTAAAGGGCTAATGAGCGCTAACTTAGAAAATTTTAAAAACTTCGATTACTAAACAAAATCTCAAAAAATTAAGGGGGTGCATTTAATAAATTGAACAAACTAGTGGGTACATATGTAAAGGAGTTCAAAAATCAGGGGCAAGTACCCCACCCCCTTTAGTAACGTGGCAACACCACTGGTCAAGCCATAGTATAGGTATAAGGCATTACAAATGGCATGGTTGGCAAGGCAACATTACAAATCTATATCTATACTAAATATAAAATGTCAGCTACTCTTTAAAATTTTTTAATCTCTATTTTTCTCTTGACAAAATACTAAATATATGGAATACCCCTTTATGACTTTTGCTCTTCCTCCAAATTTACTGCCGTTCCTTAATCGTTTCATCTTCTTTCTATGTTCACCGATCACCATAATCTCTCTTCCTACCAAGCATGTATTGTATCCCAAAAAACTTTTTAATTTCCACAAATCGAAGGTCATTGAAGTGATGGCATCATGATCTGATCCATCTCCTTTAACCAAACACCGAAATCTAACACAAGCAGGTGTGGGAATACCTTCGATGGGTTATTCTCTTTCAGTTAATTGAGTTATTAGGGGTTCATGACATTCAGTTATGTTTTGAATCTGAATAGTGTAAATGTAATGGCCTTGTTCTTCCTATATCTTGACAGATCCGTGGATATTATGGGTTTTACTTTGAATATTGTAGGATTGAGATGAAATATTATGCATGAAGTTTTTTTTTTCTTTTTATAAATCCTGTCAATTTCCTTCAATCAATATCAAATCTTGTGATCATTAAACACAAATATACATATATGTTGACCGAACATATATATGTGTTTTTACACACACACACACATAAAAATATATATATATGTATATATTAATTACATATGTACATGCCAATCTTATAGACACATACACATTGTTTTGGTGCTTTTGAACCTACCCTTTATCTGCAATTTTTTGTCTTGTCTTATTTGCCGGCTCTAAATGCTATTTGATTCTAGTATTTATCTTCTATTTTTTTTTTATAATTTTAGGATTTGAAAATATTCTTTTATTCAAATACTTATTTCTTGTTTTTATTTTTTAAGGATTTTACTAATCAGTAGTGATTTTTCTAAACATGTTAAAGAAATCTTGCATTCAAGGAGGGGTGTTGCTTGATCATTGATTTCAAAGATTGACATTGATCTTTGATTTCAAAGATTGACATTGATCTAAGCGGTTTATTCACATAAAAAATATTAGCGGAACAATAACGCAGTCAAGGACAAATAGATCTGTGTAAAAATTTATTTGGTTTTAATAATTTTCTATTATGCTCGTAAGCCATACTGATTTCATAGGTTTTATTTTCTCTTTATTGCTTAAGCATGCATTATGAGGATCGAAAGAGGAACACTTTTGTAGGAAAAATTCTGTTGATTGCTGCCCTTACTGAATTATGCATTCTCACGCTCAAGCATAACTCAACTTCCCATACCCCGAACACTGTAATATCATTATCCCTTCATTCAGATCACTACTCTTTGTTCATTACCCTGTTAAAGGCTATATGAAGCATGCATGTATACAATAAATGTAGGATGCATTTCCACTAGATTCAATTTCATGTTTATGCAAAGTCATGTCTTTTGTTGTGAAAACTCAATCCATTACTTTTCTTGCTGCTTCATAATTCAATTTTGTTGTGGTTAAGTTTGTACTGTTATATATTTAGAGATGCTTTTAGTTTTTCATCTAAAGAGGGTAAAGGCCAGATTTTATGGTACCATCATAGGCTCGTTAATTATACCTTTTTAAGTTTTAGGTTACAAACATGTAAACAAAATTCCTTCAACTTGTTGACATGTGAACATAAGTTATATGAGTGTTAATGGGATTCATAACAAATGGTCCGATCAATGGAGTTCGTTTGAGTTGCAATGTGCATATTAGCTTCTTGGTGGATGTTCTCCAAGTTTAGTAGATTTCTTTGGGCTCCTTTGAAGTATTCTAGAAATTGATATTTTGAAGCTAGAAATTCACCAAGACTGAAAATAATGAGAGCAGTCACTAGAAATGACTCAAATTTAGGATTTTAAGAAAGGTCTTCATTTCTATCGCGTTGATCATTTTGAATTGTTGCTTGTATTGACTTCAAAATAAGCCTGCATTTTGAATTGTTGCTTGTATTGATTTCAAAATCAGCCTGCGCGGATGATATTGAAGGTGGACACAAGAAAAAAGGCCGAGGACAAAAGATCACTTCAATTTACCTAGCAATGAAAACATACTCTAGCCCTCCAGACAAATTGTTAAAAAGTTAGGTTTTTCTCCTTAGAAAAATTGTTGTATATAATTGTGGTAGATTTTGGTACAGATTGTTCAAATTAACTATTTGAAGCATAACGTATGTTTCATTTGTAAAGAAAATAGAAGGGAAGAAATATAGTTACAAATGATATCAATGAGGGAAAGATTTTTGAAAAATGAAGGGAAATATTGAATTAAAATGTGGTTTGTATCAAAGAATAACATGATACCTCATTGATGCTAGACTAATAGGCTTATTTGACGTACCCGATGTGCGATGTTTGTGGGTCTTAACATGTTTCCTATGGTGGGTATANTGGTAGATTTTGGTACAGATTGTTCAAATTAACTATTTGAAGCATAACGTATGTTTCATTTGTAAAGAAAATAGAAGGGAAGAAATATAGTTACAAATGATATCAATGAGGGAAAGATTTTTGAAAAATGAAGGGAAATATTGAATTAAAATGTGGTTTGTATCAAAGAATAACATGATACCTCATTGATGCTAGGCTAATAGGCTTATTTGACGTACCCGATGTGCGATGTTTGTGGGTCTTAACATGTTTCCTATGGTGGGTATAAGAGGACCCGGACTATGAATGGTTACATTATAAAGACCACGCTCCATTGTATTCAAATGTATTACTAACGATTGCTTAATTTTGATAATCACTCCTTTTGCTATTAACATTTTACTACTTGTTACTTTTAATTTTAGTGAATGGTGAAGAAAAGGTGTTACTCTAAGAGGTGCAATGTCAACAATGGTTGTGTCATTCCAAAAATAGAAACGAATATTCTTTATATTAGCGGTCCTTATATATCGTATTAACAATCGAAAGATGGTCGAAAGAAAAAATCTCTATTTGATAGGACTTCTTCCTATACCTATGAATTCCATTGGACCCAGAAATAATACATTGGAAGAATTCATTGAGTCTTTCAATACCAATAGGTTGATTGTTTCGCTCCTGTATCTTCAAAAAAGAAAAAGATTTCTTGCAATTCTTTCCAATATGGAATGAGTAAAAAATCAAGCTACAAATCTCGATCTATACGAAACGCACTGGTTTTTTTTGTGTTTCTTTCGTTTTCATTGATAGCAAAATGGCCTTACTCTATAGGGGCGGGCACTAGCACTTGACTAATAGAATATCAAAGAGCAGTGGAAAAAAAAAAGTAAGAGGTTGCTACTCTAGGCTCGCTTTGCTTCTTCAAACTCCGCCCTTTATTGAAAACGAAAGCGCTAACGTGCCTAATTTATATTTCATTACATAGTAAAACAACCTTTCGTGCTAGGCACTCACGTTTTTTGTCTAGGTGGAATTTTGCCCTCTATCAATGTCAGCTAGGCCGTTCTCTCCATCTAGGTCGAGCAACTTCTAGTCTTGAATCTCTTTAAACATTATCGCTGCTTTATATTTTACATAAAAAACCTAAAATGGAATGAAATACGAGACGAGCACGAGTTACGCCTATTCCTAGGTCAAAGTTCATAGGACCCACCTATTAGTGGAATTTANGACTAATAGAATATCAAAGAGCAGTGGAAAAAAAAAAGTAAGAGGTTGCTACTCTAGG